CCAAACAAAGTAGTTTCGCTTTCACAACGAAGCACACAGCGTCTTCACGACATGGCGGCAGCGGCAACAACAAAACTACAGCGAGAATAAAGTTAGGTCTTCTTTCTTTGCGTGAACATTTGGGCGGTGTTATGCAAATCTTCCCACATAGTGAGGTAGAAATGTGTGGGCGTGTTAGAACGAGCCGTTTTAGGTAGGTGTGACTGACTCTTAACTTTTATAAAGAATATCTCTTTGGATTTGAGACTTTAGTCTTTGCAACTTTACAGATCTTCTTTATGCACCAAGAGCTTGTAACACTCCAAAGAGAAAGGAAAAATTGAAATCGCATCATATGACCCCTTTAACAGTGTAAACAACTCTGAATGCATGAAACAGCATTGTACCCCCCCTTTAAAACATACTAGTGTCTAATGCTATTTTATTAGGGTGACCATATTTTAGTTTTCCAAAAAGAGGACAGTGGGGGGTTCAGACAGGTTGAGAGGAGAGATGACTGACAAGATCATACTGGAGGATTTGCTGCTCAACAGATCCTGAGCTCATTGACAAATATCCTTTCTCATGAGATGTGGTTCCTTTACCCAGAGCGCGCGTGATCGTGAAATCCAAAATGAAAGTGAACAGCGAGTGCTCATTCAAAAGAGATTATATACTCCGCATATTGATAGCGGCTCCCTTATGCGCGAAAATTCTATGCAATGTTAGAATGTTTGCAGGAGCAGGCGGGACTGGACACAAAAATCTCGGGAGCGGAACATACACGGAGGAGCGGGCGGTAATGGTAAGAAATTCAGTGGGAGCGGGATTAAGAAAACAGTCCCTCGCAGGACTCTAATACAAAAACGCAAACAATGAATGGCGACTGTATAAAGCAAAAGCCGAATCCCGGACATTTTGGGCTATTTAGAAATCCCGGCCGGACGCATATTTTTAGGTCCAGAAAGAGGACATATCCGGGATATGAGGACATATTGTCACCCTAATTTTATGCTACTAGTACAAATTTTTTTTAGCTTCCATTGTCTATCTCATTGGTTACTAGTACTAGTAAGCGAAATCGAAGAATGAACTGATGTTACGTCATTTCGAACAAAATTTGGCCAATACAAAATTCGTTTTGTGTTCGTTTTGAGAGTACGAAACGGTTTGCCAAAGCGAACTTTCTGGAAAAGTTCGTTCAGGCTGCAAAACACCTTCGTACTACCATTGGTGCATGACGATTACGTCATAGGAGGTGTGCGCTGAGGCTTCACCTTCTATCACACGGAACTCTTTTCTGGGTTAATTTCGTCTGTCGAGTCCTTAGAGGTGAGATGTCCACGGGTAAAATCATGAATGCAGTGGAGAGCCGCTTTATAGTAGCAAATTAAGTAAAATGAAATTAAGAGACACTGACACTGTTTTTCATGTTTAATACTGCTGATTGCTTTTAAGCAATATATTGAATAAAGTGCCATGTAAATACATGTGACGTGACCACGGGAGTACTAATTTGCCGAGCTTGTGCAAACATACCCATGTTGCTATGAACAGATGCTTTTTATAAAAAAAAATGCTTGCTGTTCTCTCCATTTTTGTGGTTTATTTTGTTACTGAGAGGAAAGCATGCAGCACATATTTACATATTCATATAAACGTTGTTTTTTTATCAGAGTGGGCGGCGTTGGGATGTTCGATAACAGTATACCGCTGCTCGCGTATTTCGAACTTCGTTTTACCCCTAAACGAAGAACAAAAAAGAACTTCGTTTTAAGTATATCGGGGCATTTAGGCAGTGCTTATTCTTTAGGTACAAGTGCTCATTATTTAGGTAGGCCTACTAATAACTTTTTAAAGATACTGATACTTTATCCATTAGATAATAGTACTTAATTCAATAATGACTAGTAACTATTCTATTGTTATTAGTTACACATTACACATTTTTGCCATTGACTTCTATGTGGATCTGTCATTCAACAGCTCAGTTCTGACTAGTAGGCCTATATATTCCATTAATGACTGGTATCTTTTTAAATATTACTAATAAGTATTCATTGGATACAAGTACTTATTTATTAAATACTATCACTTTTCTGTAGATACTAGTGTCACGGATTGTGTTGCGAAGCAAGGCGAAGGAGACAGCAGGTAAAGTCCAAAACTCTCAGTTTAATAACGGACTTAAAACTCAGGCAGATAAACAAGGGAAAACACAACTTAGTATAACGGTGGCCGAACAACAAGTGACAGAAAGGGAGCAACTTAAATACAATGACAGATGAGGATCATAAACTAAACACAGGTAAACTAATCAGGCTAAATGAGACCAGGAAGATAACCAAATAAGGGCACACAGGAACTAAAACAAAACAGAACACAGGAAAACACATAAACAAAGGTGTCCATAACAACTAAAAGGATGACATAACCCCCTCCTCCCGGAAAGCGCGCCCTCGCGCTAAGCACCATCCAGAGGGGAGGGAGGGTGGAGGCTGGTTAGGCGCAGCTACACAGGATGGGCAGCCTCCAGGGCGGTGCCGGCAGTTCAGGGGGCCATGGTGGTGCCAGCCTTTCAGGAGGCCATGGAGGTGCCGCCCATTCCAGAGGCCATGGAGGATGGGCCTTCTTGGCCTTGTCCAGGTTCCCCGACTTGGTCACTATGGCCACAGGCATATGCCCCCCCAAAAAAAATTTCTTGGGGGAAACTAGGCGCCTTCAGGCTCAGATGGTTTCTGGCTGACGAAGGTTTGGGTAGACCTTTCCGGGACTCTGGATATGCCGGCGAGCTGGCTGGGACCAGCGGAGACTTGGGAGACCCAGGAGAGCTGGACGGAACTAGCTGAGATTCAGGAGACTTAGGAGAGCTGGGCTCACGGATGAGCTCTGTGGCGTGAGTGGGCTCCCGGTTGAGCTCTGGAGAGCATTCTGGAGTGGACTCTGGAAAGCATTCTGGAGCGGACTCCACCACTTCAGCTCCCAGGTCAACGCTGTTCGAAACCTCCTTTCTGGATTGGGGAAACACGGGTGGGTAGGAGTGGATGGATCCATTGGACTGGTATGTGGAGGGTGCTGGTTTGTGGTGAGCCGGAGCGCTCACATGCTTCCAGATAGGAATCGAATCTTCGATCTTCATTAGCTACATCTACAAAGAAATCCGAAT